TCCCCCCCTCAATACCCAGCAGAAACTATTTTGCCCTTATCTCTAATTTTGTTGTAGAGAGAGTATAAGCAATAATAGGAAGGAACAAGGGGTTTTGCTGGTTGAGATAAGGATAGCTATACAGGGCATTGACTGGAAGAGATTTTAAACAACAACAGAAATGATCAAAGATATTCAGAAGAAACAAGATGATAGGATAAAGAATGCCCAAATCACCATTCTCCTGAGGAGCAGTGCCAGCAGGGCAAATTTCATGCCTGCATTGTATTGCCAGTGTGGCTGAGCAGAGAGCTATGTGCTAGTACTGAAGAGCATGGAATTGAAATTCTGAGGAAGGTCAATGTCTGGAAAGACAAGTAAGTTGTCCACCATTCTTAGTTTATGTAACAAAGGTGATTATTACTCTAATTCAAAACAAAACAAAACAAAACAAACCCCACCTCCAAAACTAGTTCATATCCAAATTGAGCCAACAATTACCTTTATGCAACTACTAAAATTTACTCTGAACTTTCATAACAAACGAGGAAACAGGTTCAAAGAGGCAAGAAGACTGAGCCAGTGTCACTAGCTAGGAATTTAAACTTGCTACTCTAGACTTGTGGCCCAAGGCTTGATCCACTGTAACTGAATTGAACACTTGACTGAAAACCATATACTGTGTGTGTTTCTCTGTATGTGCTCTGTATGTGTAGCTTGTTAAATCAAGTTGAGAGAACCTAGGTTGCAGCTGTGGGTTAATTTATGTGTATCTTATATAAAAAATTGAAAGGACCAAAACAGATGGGAATTTTATCAGTACAAAAGGTAGATAAGGACTTCTAACTAAGTGAGACTATTAAGGTGATCTGCAGAGATATTCTCTGATGCATACAGTCGTGGGATATTTAATTCATGTTTATAATGCTGTCTACAGAGCTTGGCTCTGTGATGGGGTTTGCTCCCATATGTGTTATAAATTTTTGCAGGGTAGAGATAATGTTTTCACTTATCCTTGTTTTGTAGTCAAAAGTAACTCGAACAGCTCCAGAGATATGTAATTCATGATAATACATTGTTATAAGAATCAAACAAAATAATCTTCTTTTCTAGTGTGAATTTTTTTCTCTGAGTGGACATAGCAACTGCTGAGTGTTTAGAGTTATGTGAGACTCAAACATGTAGACTATAAGCATATTCCCAATTAATTTTAAGATGCTGAACTAAATTTGCCAACTTAATTTTGATTTATTTTCTTTTTAATTTTTGATTTGTCATACATTAATAATACTAGGGGATGGATTGTGAAATTCTGTACATGGGTACAGTGCACTTTGAACAAGTTCACCCCTTCCATTTTATTACCATTTTCCCTCTCCCTCTTTTCTCTCTTTCAAAGAGCATTTGGTGGGTTTCATTATGCTGTCTTCATGTGTATACATGTAGTGAACTTCCACCCGCTTCACCCCTCAGTATCCTTTCTTTTGCCTCTCCCCCTCCCACTGATCCCCCCAAGATTGTCCCTCCAATACACTCATCATAATCATCACAATCATTTTAGGTCTAGATTCCACAAATGAGGAAGAACATGCAATATTTAATCTTTTGAGCTTGGCTTATCTCACTCAACAAGATGATCTCGATTTTCATTCATTTCCCAGCAAATGACATAATTTCATATTTCTTTATGGCTGGGGTAATATTCTATGGTATATAGATACATATATGCTTATATAATAATATCTATCTATCATCTATCTATCTGGCTATCTAACATCTATCTGTCTAATATTTTCTTTATCCATTGGGTACCTTGACTAATTCCACAGTTTAGCTATTGTGAAGAGCTGCCACAATAAACATGGGTATGCAGGTATCTTTCTTGTATATTGATTTTCATGTGATGGGATCTTAAAGTAGGTCTATTTTTAGTTTTTTTGAGGATCCTCCATACTGATTTCTATAGTAGTGTGCTAGTGTATATCCTACTAACAGTGTATGAGAGTTCCTTTGTCCCTGCAGCCTCACCAGCATTTGTTGTTGCTTGCTTTCTTGATAATGGACAATCTTACTGGGGTGAGGTGGAATCTTAGTGTAGTTTTGATTTTCATTTCCTTTATGGTAGCTGTAAGGATGTTGAACATTGCTTCAGGTATTTATTAGACATTTATATTTCTTCCTTTGAGAAGTATCCATTCAGTTTATTTGCCCGCTTATTAATTGGATTTTTTGTTCTTCTGCTGTTTAGTTTTTGTACTCTTTAAATATTCTGGATATTAATCCCTTATTTTTCGAATAGCTGGCAAAGGTTTTCCCCCATTCTGTAGGTTGTCTCTTGATTCTGGTAACTGTTTCTTTTGATGTGCAGAAATTTTTAAATTTGATGCAGTCCCACTGATAAATTCTTACTTTTATCTTCTGGGCAATTGGCATTCTATACAGAAAACAGTTACCTATGCCTATATCTTCCAGAATTTTCCCTATAGTGGTTTCAGTGTTTCAGGTCTGACTCCATTTGGAGTTGATTTTTGTATGGGGTGAGAGATCGGGTCTAGTTTTAGTCTTCTACATATAGATAGCAGTTTTCCCAGCTCTGTTTGTTGAAGAGGCTGTCTTTTCTCCAGTGTATGTCTTTGGCTCCTTTGTCAAAGATCAAATGATTGTAATTGTGTAGTTTGATTTCTGGGTCTTCTGTTCTATTGGTCTTTATGTCTGTTTTTGTGACAGCATCATGCTGGTTTAGGTACTATGGTTCGGTAGTATAATTTGAAGACTAGTGTTGTGATAGATGCAGCATTGCTCTTTCTTCTCAGGATTTCTTTTTCATATTCAGTCTCTTTTATTCTTCCATGTGAAGTTTAGAATTGATTTTTTTCTATTTATCTAAAAGTGTTTTGATGGGAATTGCATTGACTCTATAGATTGCTGTTTGCACAATATTAATTGTGGCCAATCCATGAACATGGGACATCTTTGCATCTTCTGGCATCTTCTTCAATTTCTTCAAGGTTTTGTGGTTTTTATTATAGTTTTTCATTTCCTCAGTTAAGTTTATACCAATGTATTTTTTTGAGGATATTGTGAATGGGATTGTTTTCGTGATTTCTTTCTCAGCCTGTTCATTGTTGGTTTATAGAAAAGCTACTAGTTTTTTATGCCAATTTTGTATCCTGCTATGTTGACAAAAATTTTTATGGTGAAATTTTGAAGTCTTTTAAGCATAGAATCATATCACCTAACTCCAAAATTAGACAGAAATAAATAATAAAGATTAGGACAGAAAATGATTAAATAGAGACAAAAACTACACAAAGAATCAATGAGACAAAAAGTTGGGTCTTTGTAAAGGTAAATAAGAGTGATAAACCTTTAGTCAAGCTGACTAAAAGCAGGAGGGAAAAGACCCAAATTAATAAAATAAGAAGTGAAAAGGGGGATATTACAACAAATAACAATGAATTTCAGAGAATCATGATGGAATACTTTGAAAACCTATGTTCAAACAAGCTGGAAAAATGTAGAAGAAATGGACAAATTTCTAGATAATTTGTCCTACAAAAATTGAGCTAAGAGGATATAAATTAAGTAGAATTATATAAAGCAATGAGATTAAAGCAATAATAAAGAGCCTTCCAACACAGAAAAGGCCAGTACCCAATAGACTCACTGGTGAATTCTATCAGACCTTTTAAAAAGAACTAATACCAACACTCCTCAAACTATTCCAGTAAATAGAAAAGGAAGGAACACTACCAAACTCATTTTATGAAGCCAGTATAATACACATTCCAAAGCTGGACAAGGATACACACTAACAAATAAAAAGAATTATAGACCAATCTCCTTATTGAACATATATGCAAAATTTGCAATAAGTTTCTTGCAAACCAAATTCAACAACACATTTCAAAAATTGCGCATCATGATCAAGGCATTTTCATTCTAGAGATGGTTCAACATATGTAAATCAGCAAGTGTAGTACAGCACATCAACAGAAAGAAGGCTAAAAATCACGTGATCATCTCAATTGATGCAGAATAAGTCTGACAAAATTCAACACACTTTCATGATAAAAGCTCTGAAGAAAGTAGGAATAGAAGGAATGTACCTCAACATTATAAAGGCTATATATAACAAACTTATAGTCCACATCATATTAAATGGAGAAAAACTGAAACTGTTTCCTCTAAAGTCAGGAATGACACAAGAGTGTCCACTCTCCTCACTCATATTCAATATAGTGCTGGAATTCTTAGCCTGATCAATAAGGCAAATAGGGAAGGAAGATGCAAATTATCAGATTATTCACAGATGATATGATTCTAAATTTACCAGCCTCACGTTTAATGTCTTTATGCATGTATATTTTCCCTTGGATATGAAGTATATCTATCGTAGGTTAAACTGTCTATAAACCATCTATCCATTTATGTGTCTATCTTCATTTACATGCAAAATTTGAGATACCAAGCCAAAGTTCTCCCCTGCCCCCAGTTTTGCTACCCACACATCTGTGATTTTTACATTTCTCATTTGTGTTCAAGATGATGTTCAGGACTACAGCAACACAATTGAAAATGAGAAATTCTGTCATGTTTTAAAGATTGTATTTTACTGTTACTTTTGAATACAAGTTTGTTTCTACTATAGAGGCTATTTTCACTGATATTATTTGTTTGTAAAATCATCTTATACCTTTGAATACATGTTCATTTTGATGAGCAGTGATTTTCACTTTCAGATCCAAGTGGGCACCTTAGAAACCTTCTAATCTAGCCTTTTTATTCCAGATGTGTTATGTAACTCACTTGAGGTTACATGGGTGATTAGTGATGGTGCAGAGACAAGGAGAGCAAACCAGTTCTCCTTGTTTTTATACCATCTCTCTCTCTCTCTCTCTTTCTTCCCCAACCTCATTTCAATTAATAGGTTTTTAATACTGAAGAGAATCATTGTAAGAAGCAAGGCAATTTATTTAAAAAATCACTAATCCTTTCCTCTGTTATTTTTTCCCCTTTAGCCCTCTTCAATCTAATTCCTGTGGGCCTGCGTGTGGTGGCCATCCAAGGGGTGAAAGCCAGCCTCTATGTGGCCATGAATGGTGAAGGCTATCTCTACAGCTCAGTAAGTACTTCACAATGTGTGTGTGTGTGTGTGTGTGTGTGTGTCTGCGTGTATGTGTGTGTGTCTGTGTGTATGTGAGAAAGAGAGAGAGAGAGAGAGAGAGAGAAAGAGAGAGACAGAGACAGAGAGAACTGGCACTCGTGGAAGTTTAAGTCATCTCATTTTCTAATTCAGTTTTTATTGACAATTTTCTCACTTAGAATATTAAAGATCATATTTTATTTTATGAGGAAGAACCAGTTACTACTCGTTATGTGATACTGGTTCTCTGTATCTAGCTTCAATTTCCTATAGGGTCTTTTGTGTTTTAAATTTTACCTGTTTAATTCAGGGAATAAGACATTTTTCCTTTCCCCTATCACCTCTCTTTCAAGCACAAAGGATGGCAGAGAAAAGGAAATTCCTCAGTTTTTCTCAGTTTTCTTTATCCATCTTGGAGGAAGAATTTTCAGAACAGATTGTGTTTTTGTTTGTATTTAATACATTTATGTAGTACCTAATGTGTTAGATTGTCAGAGTAAATGTTTAATTCAAATGCAGTGTGAATTTATGGAATGAGCTTCAGATTATGGGCAGGGATATTTGGCTACTATTTGTATTTTAGCTACTACATATATATAATTTCCTCTCTTTGACTTAATTTCCAAACCTTTAAAACAAGGGCATTGGTCACCAACTTTCCTAGTGTCTCTTGCAAATCTAAGATTGACAAAATTTGTCCCACCAGTGTCTGCAATATGAGTAGTGACATATTTTGGAGTAGGTTACACTATTCTGATGCTTGGCTCACTCTCAAAAAGAATTTATGCATTGAGAGAACATGGCTCTATGGAATATCATATATGCTTTCTGTTTTCCCATATGGGGGTTACCTATTTGTAGTTTGTGAAAAAATTGTCAAAAATTGTCAAAAATCATGGTTTGCAGATTTCCATCCTTACTTTTTATGATCTCTGTGAATTATTCAAGGCTATTTAGAAAGTTCACATATGTCTACTGGGTTGTAAATTAGTCATTGTATAGTTCTAATAGACTCAAGTTAATCTATGGTACATTATATTTGCTTATTAATAATATATCTACCATCCATGTTAGAATTAAAGTCACAATAGCTTGAATGTTTCCAACAAAGAGACATGATAAATATCTAGGTGATATGCCTATTATTCTGATGTGATCATTGCACATTGTATGTCTGTATTGAAATGTCATGCTGTACCTCATAAATATATGCCATTAACTATGTGTTAATTAAAAATAAAAATGTTTTTATTTTATTTTTAAATTTTGTTTTTTTTTATTCATATGTGCATACAAGGCTTGGGTCATTTCTCCCCCCTGCCCCCACCCTCTCCCTTACCACCCACTCCACGCCCCTCCCTCTTCCCCCCACCCCCTCAATACCCGGCAGAAACTATTTTGCCCTTATTTCTAATTTTGTTGTAGAGAGAGTATAAGCAATAATAGAAAGGAGCAAGGGGTTTTGCTGGTTGAGATAAGGATAGCTATACAGGGCATTGACTCACATTAATTTCCTGTGCGTGTGTGTTACCTTCTAGGTTAATTCTTTTTGATCTCACCTTTTCTCTAGTTTCTGGTCCCCTTTTCCTATTGGCCTCAGTTGCTTTTAAGGTATCTGCCTTAGTTTCTCTGCATTAAGGGCAACAAATGCTAGCTAGTTTTTTAGGTGTCTTACCTATCCTCACCCCTCCCTTGTGTGCTCTCGCTTTTATCATGTGCTCAAAGTCCAATCCCCTTGTTGTGTTTGCCCTTGATCTAATGTCCACATATGAGGGAGAACATATGATTTTTGGTCTTTTGGGCCAGCTAACCTCACTCAGAATGATGTTCTCCAATTCCATCCATTTACCAGCGAATGATAACATTTCGTTCTTCTTCATGGCTGCATAAAATTCCATTGTGTATAGATACCACATTTTCTTAATCCATTCGTCAGTGCTGGGGCATCTTGGCTGTTTCCATAACTTGGCTATTGTGAATAGTGCCGCAATAAACATGGGTGTGCAGGTGCCTCTGGAGTAACCTGTGTCACAGTCTTTTGGGTATATCCCCAAGAGTGGTATTGCTGGATCTAAAAATGTTTTTAAAAAGAATTAAACTACAGTTTTAGTCCAGAACACATCAGATCCAAATATACATTTATATACTATATTTACACACATACATTTTTCAACATTTACTCCTCAAAATGATATTTAAAGATAGACACATTTTTAAAGCAGCAGCATTCATTTTTAGCAAACATTCCTTTGTCTAAGGTTCTTCATGTTAAGTTATTGAGAGTCCATTTTAAATGTGACAATCACAATATGAAAAAGAAAGATAATAGGTTGTTTTGTATACTTCTTTTTTATACTTCTAATTTAAAAGGAACTTCTGAATGCAATAAAACTAAAACATGGAGATGATCTTGGGAGAATACTAAGGATCTAATCAGTCATGAGATTATAATCATAATTCAGGCTGTAGTTACACAAAATCTTTAGAGTTTGGATCACAGAACTAGAGTTGATTTCGAAAAGTTCAGAAAGAGGAAAAATGCATAAAATCTGGCAACAGTTTTGCAAGCAGAACTCTCTCTCTCTTTTTCTCTGAAGGTGGGTGTGTGAGTGGGTGGGTATATGTAGATTGGAAGTGCCAGTTGGAGAGAATGGATTTTCATATTCTGCAACTTTGGGTTTTTTTGGAGGTACTGGGAATTGAACTCAGGGCCTTCACCTTGAGCCACTCCACCAACTCTATTTTTGTGAAGGGTTTTTCGACATAAGTTCTCACGAGCTATTTACCTGGGCTGGCTTCGAACTGTGATCCTCCTGATCTCTGCCTCCTGAGTAGCTAGGATTACAGGTGTGAGCCACCTGTGCCCTGCTTTTTTGTTTGTTTGCTTGTTTTTGTTTTTTAAGAGTTGTGTTCTTTCTACTTGTTTACAACTGGGATTAAGACACAGGGACCTGGAGCTCAAAGGAGGGAGAGTTTTTTAAGAATCTCAGGATTTTAACTACCAGAGCATTTTTATAATGGAGCTGGTACCTTTGTAAAGTCAGTAATCACTTGTTGACATATTTTGGGTGCCTACATTTTTATTTTTCTTATTTAAACTTGTCTCATGCCAAGAATGACAGTGCCTCTCCTGCTTAGGGTATTGTGGTGACACTAGGAACATTTCTTTAATTGTAAGTGGAACACCACTGGCATTTATCATCAGTGTATCTATTTTCAAAATTACTCTCTTTCTGGCTCAGAGTAATAGAAGTGAATGCTGGTTTTTAATTTTACACAAGGGGTGTATGCCTTAAGATTCTGTAATAGGATTAAAGGGCCAGCATCTGGGTTTAGAGGTCTCATTTCATGCTGTTCCTCTGGCTGGTGTGCCTCAGTGGGAGAGCAGGGCCAGAGGTTTTGTGAGTTAAAAACCTGCTGTTAACCTTGGCTTTCCTGAGAGGTGAGTTTGCTATGCATTAAGTCTAGGTGTTATTCGAAAAGCAATTTCCATTTCCTGTGAACAGTGTAGTCGGGCACACTAATAATGGTCATAACTGGTGTGGAGGGAAGGGTGGTGACTGGGCAAATTGGAGAGGTCCTAAAGAAGATAATTTCGAGTCTGAGAGGATTTCACAAATGGTATCATTTATCTAGTGTCATTGGTAAATGGTTTGTATTTAGATTGAGGCTACAAATGCATTCCTAGTTACTTTTGGTTTCCCCTCTTTCACAAAGAGACAGGAATAGAGAAAAGTGACAAAGTTGGGGAGACTGCTTAGGAAGCACAGTGCTAGAGTTTTAAGATCCATTTTGAAAATCTGTGCTTTAATAGATGAATATAATCTATATACTTGACAAGATTGTTGATATATCTGGATCTGTTTTTACCATAGTAGTTTATATCATTATTATAATTGAGGTACGATCTTACTCGAGTCCAGGCTGGCCTAGAATTGTGACCCTCCTGACGCGATTTCCTGAGTGCTGGGATTATATATGTCTAACACCATGCCTGGCTATAGTTTATATTTTTAATCTACTTTTGTTTATTCTTTTTCTAATCTTTGTTGTATTGCTGAAGTTTGTTTCTAGTTTTTTTATTCTTCTGTTAATTTGTAAACTTAGGCTATATTTCTATTCACTTAGTGGTTACTCTTTTTTGCTTCATATACATACATACATACACAGTTTGGGTTTTTTTCTCTTTTGACAGTACTGGGGTTCAAACTCAAGGCCTTGTACTTGCTAGGCAGGGGCTCTAGCACTTGAGCAACACCTCAGCCTGCTATATGTTTTTTGTTTCTGTCTTCCTTGCAAATGGCTCATAAGTCTAGGATATTTTCTTAGTTGTTAAATACCACCACCGTTCTCATCAATCTGATGTGTTGCACTTTAAAATAAGTATTTTGTAGCTTGCACATTAAAATGTATCAATTTTTATAATAATTTCTATGCATGCAATTTTTGCTTTTGTATATACGTCATTGACCCAGTTGAGTTTAGTTTTCCTTTAAACTACATCTTTGCTTTGTTTGTGAGGGCCTGTAGTTCGTGGAGTCATATTGTCTTGGTATCCATGCAAATGGCTTCCTTTCACTTTCGCACTTGAACTAAGGTGTCCAGACAGTTACCAGGTTTTCAGTGGTCCAGTATTTGCCTAGCATTCAGAAAAAAAAAAAATCCCTTTAACTTCTGCTATCCATTGTTGATGATGGAAAGTTTACTGTCAGTTTAATATTCTCTCCTTTGGATGTAATCTCCTTGGAAACTTAAAAAAATTGTTTTTCTCTTTATACTTTCTGTTCTGCAAACTTACTATAATGTCTACTTGTGAATCTATCTTTTCCTGGTAGGCATTTCAAATGCATTTATAATCCAAAGAATTTTTTTGTTTTGCAGTTCTGAGGCTTGAACTCAGGTCCTACACAATGAGCCATTTCACCAGCCATTTTTTGTGAGGGGTTTTTTGAGATAGGGTCTTGAACTGTTTGCCAGACCTGGTTTTGAACCGAG